GTCGGACTTAATGCTTAAAAGGTCTTGTGCACGGTCAGAAACAACTACCAACCGTCGTGACCTTGGTCGGTTAGACATCGGTTGTTTGACCAATATTTTTTTTTTATAGTATAAAGGTGACAAACGAGCACACAGTCCACCTGATGGTAAGTGGTTACTGCGGCTCATAGACATCTTCATCTATCTCCGATTACGAATCAAAATGCAGATTCGTTGTCACCCGTGAGGACTAAGATGGAATACCTCGTTTCCAGTAAAAAGGGTCGCCGGTTCTCTACACTCACCATACAAAACACAGCAGCGTTAAGCTGCTTTTTTACGCTGGTATTCTGTGAGAGCGTGGTCCTTTCCCTGTCGAGCCGACCCATTCGTGCTACAACCATAACATAGCTGCAGCATGGCTCTACTACGTATAAAAATGGTAGTTGATGTCCGACGGCCTTGGTCGCGAGCGCATCACTCACGACACGTCGGGTTCGTGGTTGACGCCGACCGTGTGGAAATTTGACAGCCCAGTCAACCATTAGCTACTCAACCGTCCACGGTGACTACAATCACCAAAAACAATTATTGCCTGATCTGTCTAGTCACCAAACGACATCTTTCGGTTTAAACGTGGACAGCGCAAAAGATAGCTGTTATTAATACAATAGAAAATTATAGATGGTGCTATATAAAATTTGTCATTTATGAAAGTGAATTTTATCTGTATGATAGTAACAAAATATTTAGAGAAAAAAAGTTAAAAAAAATTATATTTCGCCATTTTTGTTTGTGGAATGTTAACGTGTGAGAAATTCGATCAAAAATGTGATAACTTTTCTGTTTTATACGTTATTTTTAATTGTACATCAAACTAATTGTGAAGATATTTTCTTTAGTAAATATATATCATTACAACAATTCCAAAACGTTTACATATACTAAGTTAGTTCTAAATTTTAATCACAATACGCGATCATCGTTTATTGATTATATGTTGTTTAAAATGTATTCTAATCAGTTTTTTGGGTTAAATTAATGCGAAATATAAAAGAATGATTCGCTATTAACACGTCGATAGCAATCTGTTGAGATGTGTCTAGATATTATTAAAACCCATTTTTATTTAATTATTTACTTATTTATTCAAATTTATATTGGGTAAACATTATATACTTGTGTATAATGAGTATATAAGATATTATTGATATTGGTGTCATTTTAAAGGGAATATCATGTACTATTATAATATAAAATGATTGTCTCCAGTAAGTATTATACTTTTCTTGTAAAACTCGAAATAAAAAATAAATACGATTTTTTTATGATATTTCCTTTTTTAAGCTTTATTTTTAATTTGACTAATTTTCTTTTAACAAAATTAAATTTTGAATTCTTTGAGTCTTTTGAGAATTGATTTTTATTTCAATGTAGCTATAGTAGTTTTTCAGTAGTAATCGTTTTTGTTAAGACAGTCTCGCGCGGTCGTAAAAATAGTGACATTTAATGCGCGGATAGGTCAGGCGAGAATCACATCCGCGGGGCGGTCGGTTGAGTGGTTAGGATAAGCAGAGATAAACATATGGGAGTATAGCAGAGTAAGGTAGTGCAGCAAAAATAAACTAATAATGAGAAGGAAAGGTAGCGAAGTTCGAATAAACCACAATAATATAAAGGAATTATATACATATATCATACAAATGTACAAATAATATAAATATATTAATACCATTGTTAGTAGATAAAATAAAACTTTGATCGTGTAGTGGTGGCGTAAGAGAACCCAGTAATTTATATTTCGCTGGTGTTGAAAGAAATCATAGAGAGAAATGAAACAGGAGACGGGCAGCAACATCTTCCTGATAACAACTGAAAATAATAAATACTGTGATTGCTGGAAAACCTGCTAATGCATGACAATTATAGTAAGTGTAGCTATATAAGGATATATACGTAGGATGAGGCCTATGTTCAGCAGTGGACTTTAGATAGGCTTATAAATGAATGAATAAAAATAAACTTAATATTGCATTAATATTAATATTTCTCTTTAATTCATATTGAAGAATTTTATCGGCTGGTAAAAGACTTGGATGCGCTGAATTTTTGAAAGGATTATCTGCTATCAGTTCGTCGTCAGGGTCAGAGATATACCTTTCAATGAGCACGGTGTACCGTTTGTATGTGTGATAGACATTTATAGAAAAATATTGCATAATCTCCCGTATGTTTACAAGGTACTCCTGCTTTTTTAATTTTGTCAGGGTGTTTTAATGACTTTTACGATTATGCCAATCCCACTTTAAGCTTATGTTTTTATACAATAACAACAACTACTACTACGCAAATGTAACTGTGAAATTTATTTCAATTATAATAATATGTTTCATTAAAATAATTGAGCACAAAAAGCAACATAAATATTATAAAATCTAGATAATACGCTCAGAAATCGAAAAGCAATAAAGTACAAGTTTAAAGTCAATAAACCGCCTGTGAGTTTGATCCACGTTTTCTTCATTTAAACGGACCGTAAAGTTAACTGATTTAAATAAGTTATTTATTGTATTCAAAATCGGTATTAACAAAGTGTTGAGATTAGACCCTTTTTATTACATCACAAAAATAATCCCTTTAAAAGTAAATATTGTAGGATTTATTTGAAATTAATAAGTTTTCTTTCATAAGGCCTAATGGGCAAAATGGCGTTTTGTTATTTATAAAGGGAAACAAATTGAGTATGTGCGTATTATGATTGCTCCAAAATCAGAAACTATAGCCAAAACTTACCAAATATCATAATATGTCACGGCATGCCAACGGCGACGTCGCCGTACACCGGAACAGCAAAAAATTTTATACAACACGTGCACCAACCACGCTGTGGTGGCGACTATACGTCATGTATACAGTTTGGAATCAGAATTTTGAGCTAGCCGACGCTATGCGAGTTAGTTACCCCCGCCACGTGAACGTGCATATATGAACAATTGAATTTTATTTGTGCACCACAACTTCTGAACTATCATTAGTGTAAGTAATAGGGCAGGATAATAAGTTGAGTTAAGAATAATATGAACTAAACTAAATCCAACCACTCGATTTTCCCCACCACTCCACTACTCGCCAATATATTATGCAATATTTACAGTCGGTAACCACCACCATCGGATCGGATAGGCCGAGTCAAAAATATTAAATATCAATGTTGGTATAATGCACTTAGCATGGTCAACTTGAAAAATGATTGCTTAAGTAACACTTGTTTTAATTGAGCAATCGATTAAAATAGGCTTTAATACATTTTTTCTCTTCTTATGAGCTTAGTTTCATTATTCTTTCTTTCCATTTGTTGAAATATTAGCGCGACCACGTTTAAACTCTCGTGCCAGTTGTAAACAGTGGCACGAGATGGAGCTTCATTGTGAAAGGCCAATCGAAGTCTATTATAATATTCTTGTTGAATTAAATGACATCGGAAGTCATAAAAAATCATTGTGCGAAAATTTTCTCGCGTTCAATTCATGCTGACGTGACACAGACAATTTCCAATTTCCTGCCAAATCGTAAACAAATAACAAATTAACAAAATACATACACAATAATATTGGCAAAAGGGTTCCATTTTCAAAATTTGAACTTAATTTTTTTATTATATCATTTACAAGTGGTCAGTTCTAAAAACTTTCAGTGTCGCCCTCGATTATCCCCACCCCACCCCTGAGTATGAGGTGATAAATAAAATGCTGTTTCCAAATGTTTTCATACTAGATTATATAAAATATTATATTTTAAATGTATAAGTCTCGCTGGGTTTATTTTTGGTTCTTACTAAGTGTGATGGTAATATAAATTATCCCGGCTTGGATGAGGCGTTGTGAATTTTACTATAATGATGGTAAAATCCGTTGGGCTATGTCGGTCACTCTGGTTCTACTGCGGATATCCTCATTCCTAAGTTTATCACGCAGAGAAACTCCGAGCATAGCCCTCTCCATAGCTCGCTGAGCGACCTTGAGCTTCCTCATACGGCCAGCAGTGAAGGACCACGTCTCAGTTCCGTAAGTCATCACTGGCAACACGCACTGGTTGTACAATTTCGTTTTAATTTTTTTTTTAATTTTCGTTTTTTTAATTTTTTTTTACGGATTAGTAAGCTGAAGTGGCAGTGGGCCGGCCATATAGCTCGAAGAACCGACAACCGATGGGGAAGAAAGGTTCTCGAGTGGCAGCCTCGTACCGGTAGGCGAAGTGTAGGGCGTCCCCCCACGAGATGGAGTGACGACCTGGTAAGACATGCAGGAAGTCGATGGATGCAGGTGGCTCAGGACCGTGTTTTGTGGCATTCTTTGGGGGAGGCCTATGTTCAGCAGTGGACTTGTGAAGGGCTGTAATGAAATGAAAAAAAAAATGATGGTAAAATTAGTTTTTTGGTTTAAATGATTTATATACATATAATTATTTATGGCCGCTCAGTAACTGACGATGAATCAGTATAACATCCTACTGTCACGCCGAAACTAAGAGGAGAAAATCACTGTAGAAAAGGTAATAATTTATTGCGGAAATTTTGTGATAAAATTAAAAAATTACAAACTTATCCAAGTTAATCTAACTTATTCTAACTTATCCTTATGCGTTACAAAAAAAAATAGTGAGATAGCGTCAGTTTTTAAGAAGATATAACAAAAATAAAAAAATAAAAATCTCAAAAAAGTTCAGTATTTAATTGATTATATACCGCTGGATCAGAGATATTAAAATAATGATTTTACGTAGGTTATGGACTGTATATGGCGGTGAGAATATACTATTTCGCGATACTGCAAATGTCCCTAAATTCGTGCAACATGATGGATGTAAAGAAATGCAGGTGCACTCACCTGGACTTAAGCTAATCTGCCTAGTGTCTCGAAGGCTGCATTACATGTTGATTTAATGCCGGCTATCTTCACACATATAACTTCACAATTATCGAAATGTAGCGTTATAAATGTCCTATATAATAATAATAATAATAATAATAATAATAATAATTTATTTCAGATAACCAAGTGATCCATAAAATTTGTTAGTAAATATGAAACTTATAACCTATGTTAGTACCTAAATCTAATTCTTAAATACAAGTGCCTTATTAACTAAACATAGGCGGTAATATTGCTTAAGGAGGAATGAGTCGTATCTTTCAGCAATTATTTTCATGATGGAGTTGGAGCTAGCCCGCACCCTGCCAAGCAACGAGGCTGTTTTCTTTCTTATAAGGGCGTAATAGTCATCTGTACGCGCCTTTGCAAACATGCCTGATGCACTGCAAAATCGGGGTAGCCCCAACAAGATCCTGAAGCCATTATTGTACTGGACACGTAAGGTGTCGACAGTCCGCTGTGAATAATTCGACCACAGGCTGCACGTGTAGAAAACTTGACAGTACGCTTTAAATAGCGTTATCTTTACTTGTTCACTACACCGCGCAAACCTACGAGCCAACATATTACATCGGACTGCCAACGCCCTACGTTCCCTTTCAATGTCAACATTGTCATTTAGGTCATCGGTAACAAAATGCCCTAGGTACTTAAATTTAGCAACACGTTTTAATTCAATGCCATTCAATTTAATTGCAGGCACATTTTCTGGGCTTTTACAGCCGACGGCCCTAAACACCATGAATTCGCTTTTATTACAATTGTATCGCAAGCCATGGTTTAACGCATACTTCTCACATATCTTAAGGAGTTCTCTGGTGGCCTTAACCGTGGGACTCAGCAACACCATATCATCTGCGTAGCTTATATTATTAAAACTTACATCGTCGATACGACATCCGACTATTTTGCTGCTGAGTTCAACGATTAGGTCATTTATGTACAGGTTGAAAAGTTTTGGTGACGTAATTCCTCCCTGTCTGACCCCACATTGCAATCTGTACCTTTCAGAGAACTTATCGGCCCATCTCACATTATTATACTGATTATTATACCAGTACTGAAAAATCTTCAAAAGCTCAGCTGGAATCTTTTTCTGGCGTAGTTTATCCCATAATAAGTCATAATTTACGAGATCAAAAGCTCTGGAGAGATCTAAAAAGCATGCATATACAGGTGTACGTCGCTTTGTGTAATATTCAACAGTGTGCTTTAGGGCTAAGATAGCATTCTCAGTAGACAATTCAGACCGAAACCCAAACTGTGCATCGTGCAACTCAATATAACTTTCCAGCTGTGTATCCAACAGGCTGTCAAGTATTTTAGCCATAATTGTTGCCAAAGATATAGGTCGATAATTACACTTATCTCCCACGTCACCTGTTTTGTTCTTAATTATAGGCACAACTATTGTCCGCATAAGGTCGTGAGGCAGATACGAATGACAGAGACATGAAGAGAAGAAAGTAGCGAGTAATCGAGGCAGGTGAGGTCCGGCATGCTGCAGGTGCTCGATGCTGAGAGAATCATGGCCGGGAGATTTCCCCCTAGTCATATTTTTAATGGCAGTTGCCACTTGTTCAGGTGTAAAACGAATGCAGTCATGACTGCCACGATAGCTCTCATCTCCGGGCACCGGCTGCGATGGACCTAGCAACGACTCTATTTTAAAATGCTCTGCAAACATATTAGCTATGCTAATAGGTTCGTTTACACCTCCAACGCACACAGGCAGGGTAGGCTTAATATCAAGTTTGTTGGTGGCTTTCCAGAATTTTTTGAAATTATTTGCTTTACGATGTGATGCTATGATATCGAGTTGAATTTGCTCTTGATGGTTTTGACACCATTTTAGTTTGCTCTTAAATATTTTACGTGTTATGCACATATCGTCATATATAGGCCCACTAGTTGGTTTGTTATGCCACAACCATAAGCGATATTTAAACCTAGCCATCGCATGTGCTTCCCTCACATGTCTGTTCCAACCTACAATACGACCACTATGCTTATAACTTCTATTATCATCATAACTCTGTATAGCGGCCTCAGATAAAATAGTAACAATATTGTTGTACATTTCATCAAGCATTAACCTATGATGAGTATTGTTACAGTGTGAATTATAACATATGCTAAGTTCCTCAGGTACCTTAAGCGATATTAATTTGCTATTACACATATCATAATATACTTCAATCCGATCACTGACCCTTTCGCCCCATATTACTTTGTTACATGATTTTGTCGCAACTTCTAATTTAGTTTTAATAGTGTCTAACCTGCACTCAACAACAAAGGGGCAATGATCAGACCAGAATACATCATAAAATATTCTTATGTTAGTTATAGTGTGCCAAGCAGCTTGTGTGACAATGCAATGGTCAAGCCATCGTCTACAGCCATGTGCATCACTGACAAATGTATAGTTATCAGATTCTACACCTAACTTTTCAATGTCTGCACAAATCCAATTTTGTTCAGAACAGAATTTTAAAAGTTCAAGTCCAAAAGACTCACCAGGATGAGCATTAAAATCACCAAGGACGTACACTGCCTCCACGTCACAACTTTCGACTATCGCGCTTACCTCACTAAGACAGTCAGTGAATTCTGTTAGGTTATCACTCACGTCTGTCGGCATATATACACAAAACACTAAAAAGTATCTGTCACCTAGGGATACTTTTATTGCTGCTAGCCGCACATTAGCACAGTTTATTACTGTGACTGACTCAAAAGTTCCTTTGCGCCACAAAATCGCCACACCACCATACGGTCGTCCTTTGAGTATGCCCTCTGATATATTCACAGCTGATTTTCCTGTGTATTCAAAATCTTGATGTATCTTGGCAAGGTATGGGATATCAAAGGGAAGCAACCACGTTTCCTGGAGAGCAACTATATCAACTTTTTGACACAGAAACTTAACTGCATCAATTGAGCGTTTCACAGATTTGCAATTAAAACAGGCTAATTTAGTTGTTTTATAAATTTCTTTATCCATTCTTATGTAATAGTTTGCTTCATTATGCTATTAACGCTATTTTTTAACTTAAAATTATCATTTGTAAAACGCCTAAAGGTTATGCCATCGGGCCAGAACTTATCGTCAAGAAAAACATCCAGCTTTGACTTGGACACATAGAGCTTGAAAGAATTATACTTCTTTTCAATTTTTCTATTAATTTTAAATAAAGATGTTTCCTCCTGTGTTTTATTTTTAATATATGCAATAATATCACTTTCCTTTGTGTCCTTTGACACATTGGAAATAAACAAAGGAATTTTGATTATTGCTGCCTTAAATTTTCCTTCAGGTCCAACATCGGCTTTTCCCATCCTTTTACCGGACGCTGAATTTTTTCGTTTCGTATTTGTAACCAATGTCCACTTTTCCCCTACTATTTGTTTACGTTCCACTTCCATACTATTCAACGTTTTTCGCTCATTCGAATGACAATCTGATGAAACCTCTTTAATTACATTCGAGTTCGTAGTATTTGAACAAATAGTAGTGGACATACACCGTTTATTCGTTTTATCAATAACACGATCTAATTCATTAGCTTCCTTTACCTGCGTAGGCGAGATAGCACTACACAATTCTTTAACACTTGTTGTATGCGTAATACCAGCTGATTGCTCCGCGCTGTTGTTATTTCTCTGCGGCGTTGATAAAACATTTTTTTGCATACCCACATATGCAGGAGAAAATTTGTTATAGTTCTTTTGTGATATTAAAGATGTAGGTGACTTATCTTTACCTGGGATCTCCTGGGAATAATTTTGCAATGCCATTGGCCCACTATCATAGTTTTCTAAATCTGCTGTTAAATTGCCTCTTTTTCTATTGATAAAGTCAAACTTATTGCAAATGACTGAAGCATGTTTCAGATTATCTATCTCCGTTTTTAGGTCCAACATCTGACTTAGGGTAGCGCTATCAGTTTTTAATGCGTGTACATCGGACTTTAGCATAATAATATCTTTTAACAGCTGCGTTACATCTATGTGGTCAAACGTGATAGGTGGTAATTTTTGAAGATCACGAGCAACAAAGATAGGTACTAATTCAGGATCGGTCGTTTTAAAAAGACATATAATATCATCAATGTCTCGAGCATTTTTACCTTTATTCTTGCGAGTTTTGCGCTTCGATTCCGGGACAGAATTAAAGAACAGCTTCTTTGCAGACACTATTTCACTATCAGAAAAGCTATCACAGCATAATCTTATAAGAGAAACCTCGTCCATTACATCCGCCTTGTTTTGAATAAATGCTAGTAGTTCGTTAATCACTATATTACAATTTGCACATTTTACAATATCCGAAGCCATTTTTGCTAAAGTATAGGCACAGCCGTCTACCTGCAATCGCGCGCAACAGCTGAATGTGAAATATATACTTGATTATGTTCTTGTATAGTTCAATATCTAAATTAAACCTCGGCGTGAATCGATGACGCGAGATCTCAGCGGTGCGGTTAGTTACTTATGTGCACTAGTTTAACACAAGAGTGCACATGGTAGGCATGAAAGGTGGTAGATAGGAAACCCGGAAATGGGCTTTGCAGAACTCTTATTCGTTAACATTAAACAAATAGGCGTTAGGCCGTAGTTGCAAATTGGCGCGAATACCAAGACTTTTTTTTTTCCAAACCAGAGGTAAAGCTTAAAAATAACTCGCAATAAATATTCTTCTAATCTATTTTGAATATTAATTATTACATTCTATTCTATTTTGCATTAATATGTGTGGTACAATGTTTTTTAAAATGTTTTTGAAAATGTTACCATTTTAATTTGTGAAAAGTTTTTGTTGAGTCCACGATGATTTCTCGCAAGTTTATTTTGTATCAAAGGAAAATAAGAAAAAATATTTGAGAGCAAATACTCCTTAAGCTTCAACCCCACAATTGAAGAGGCTATTTTGTAATTAGACAGATGACTGACAAATTCAATGATGAAATTAAATATACATTTGATAAGATAATTATTTTACCATTAATAATTTAATTTAACGTTTTTGTGGTTTCTGCGTTAGATAATCCGTCAGTTTCTACAGATAGCGATATAATACAATACAATACTCTTTATTGCACACCAAGAATAGATAAAAATAACAAAAAATTAACAAATATTGAGGGAAAATATATCAATCCCTTCCAGAGAGCCCATAATATTCGTAATTATATTATAATATACTATATTATTATGTACTTCCCAAATTAGTAAGGAATGTAAAGATTACCTCATAGGATATTTGCCATAGTTGTAACGCCCAGTAGAAGGGTTGGCAAACCGCAGTTTTTTATTTTATTTCATTCGCTGTTATAAAAATATATTACTATCCATATACTGGCTTGTGTCTTTTGGTCATACAAAGAGTTACAAAGGGTTATACAAGGAATTAAAAAAATATATATCGCCTTAATAATTATCACGTATGACCTCACGATAGTGCACAGTTCAAATTTTACAGACTACTGCTTGAATTACAAGTGCGAAATTATCTGTTCTTAGCACATCAAGACGCCTATTCTATAGCCTTACTTATGGATAATTATTTCATATAACGCAAACCAGAAGCATATAAATGAGTTGGACTCGTGCATGAAGGGTTCCGTACCAACGTCGTAGTACATGTTTCTGGTAGGGGAGCCCCTTTTAATTTTTTATTTATTTTAATTTTTATTATTAGTTGTTATAGTGGCAACAGAAGTACACATTATGTAAAAAATTCAACTGTGTAACGATTACGGATTATATGAGATACAGCCAGACAGACAGATGGACGGACGGAAGGATGGACGGACAGCGGAGGCTTAGTAATAGGGATCCTGTTGGCTACCTTTTTGCTACAGAACCTTAAAAAGTTTACAGCCAACATGAGAAAGTTGTTACCAACATTGCGCCAATGAACTTTGTTGTATTTGAAAGACTATATGACGATGAATGATGAACTGATGATGAATGATGACGATCTTTGTCAATCGGAGTATTTCGTAGGAAATATTATAAATACTTATGTGGTACAAGTAGTACCGGCGTAAGGGAATCTTTCATTCCATTTCGCCTTAAGTAGTCATGAGAAGCAACTGTGAGAAACGCCAAAAAATTTATTGTTGCCGTGCATCCGAAAAAGATCCTAAAAAGGGCTACAGATGCGTTTCTCACTTCTGACTAAGATAGAATAGCTTACAGCCTGCAAATTAACAGGCCCTCTTTCTCTACTGATCAGAACATAGAAATGCACATACTACTGCTTGGTGGCCGAAATATGTAGATACTAGATGTACCTTTTACCAGTCGTGGACGTGATGTGACAGTTAATTTTGTTTTAATATTTTTAATGCTTTATATATTTATTATTGATATAATATATAATAATCAAAAATAATATATGAATAAAAATACATTAGTATTTTTATTCATATAATGTTTCTGATTTATACCTTATATTTTAGCTTATTTTAGTAAATCTAAATTTGTGTCTTTTTAAATATTTTGCAGTAGTTTGTAGCTAGGAGTCAGTTTCCATTAAAATACCTATAAAACAAAACCTTTGTTTTGTTACTGGAGGATATACACGTCGCTGGATCCAACTGCGAGGATGACTAACTTGTAATGAACTTCGTTACTGAGCGACGTTTTCTTTTGTTTACGTTAATTACTTCAGCTGTTTCCTGTTCATTATTACAAATTTCTACTATTCTCCAGTTAATTATGTTGTTAAAATGCTTGTGTGAATTTTGCTTTATAAAAACATCAACTTGACAATATCACAACTGTCACACAGACCCTGTCTTACAACCTTAACGATTGTAATTATAATTTTTTTTTTCAATATTAAGAAGACATGTGGAAGACACGGATACTTCTGCTCTAAAAACCCTATCGAAAATTAAACAATGAAAGTGCCTTTCTGTAGGACGTACTCGTATAATATAGCCTGTAATAATACTTTACCTTTTATATTTATTCACCGTCCATTGTTGGTTATGTTTAAAATATAAATTTTAACATAGTGTAACCACGCTGCTATTCGTATATAGCTATGTAGCTGCAGCATGAATGGGTCAGTTCGACCGGGGAAGTACGACACTCACACAGAATAATAGCGTAAAATATCAGTTTATTGCTACTGTGTTTCGCATGGTAAGTGAAGAGAACCGGTGACCTTCAATACTGGGAATTAATAATTTCTACTTAGTTCTTTATGGTGAAAACGCATCATTTTTACGTGGTAGAGCCATGCTGCAGCTATATTTCTGGTATAGTTATAGTATGAATGGGTCGGCTCGACCGAGGAAGGACCACTCTGTCACAGAATATCAGCGTAAAATAGCAGCTTAACGCTGTTGTGTATCGTATGGTAAGTGTAGAGAACCAGATAACCTTTTAACTGGAAACGAGGCATTCCATCTTAGCCTTCACGTGTCACAACGCATTAGATGCGAGTCATAAAATCTACTTACATAAAATATTAACGAACAGACTTCGGGGTATCTAGTAAGTCCTATTACAGTACTCGAAGGTATTATGAAAGCAAAAATACTTTAAAGTGGTCAGTTGAAAAACTGTCATCAGATCCCCTCATAGTTTAAGTCAAAACTTTGGAAATATGCCGCGACCTCGGAACTTTTATTGCCTTAGAAAGCTTGAGCTATTTGACACAAAAATTATTGGTATAGTTTTTACTATATGTGGAGACTTTATCTAATATCAATCTCCTAGAAGCTTCCTCCACCAATATTAAATTTAGATCATTTCTTAAATCATATGGTCTTTTTAATTTATTTTTAACGTCAACGCGTATTATTAAATGTAGGACAACATGTATAGATAACATTTTTTACAAATTAAGGTTAAATGAATTATTCAAAAATTGAGTGCTGGTCTCTCTGGACAAATAGTTTCGTTGTCTTATGTTTACAAAAAGCAAGTAAATGAGAAAGTTGTGTTTGTTCCAGTAAATGCACGTCGCTTCGAGAAGTTTAGAAGTAACATAGTGAAGAAACTTCCATCACTTTTATACCAAAATTATCCAAATTTTTTGTATAGAACAATATTTATGTTTATTTGCAATAATTTTGATAATTTCTAAAACATTATCAACATTATAGGAAATAAGCCTAAATTAAAATTTTTAAATTCTAAGACATTCTCCTTGATTATTCAAGGAAGAATATTCAATGAATGAGTGACGGTAGGAGTCCATAAGAGCAGAGAAGGGTTATATGAACTGAACTTTTATGAAATGTCATATAATACTACCATCGAATTTAGGGAATATGTAAAAAATATTCAAAAATATTTAAAAGAGTGGAGCACACAGCCAAGTCGTTGCATTTAAACAATAAAATTAAGACGGCTTCTAATAAAATTAAAACGATGTAGAGTATATATAACTTATAGTGACGTGGCAATGGTTTTTGAGATATACTCGTATTTTCCTGATATTCCGATCTTAACCACTAAGTCACTAAATTATCTCTGCTTATTGCTAATGCTATTTCTTAACCAAAATGTAAATGCGTTTACTAAAGTTATTTTACATTTCATACAATATCATCAAAATATATCGTAAAATACTATAAAACTATTGATATTAAGAAAACTCCAGATCTGTTGGGGATTACCGTTAAAGTTATAGCGTCTATAATAGATATAATCGCGCCTCAACTAGCTATTATTTTTAAGACTAGTATCCAATATACTTTGTTTCCTGATTTATTGAAGCATAGTAAAGTAATACATTCATTTAAATCTGGTGGTATATTAGATCCCGTCAATTTTACACCAAATTTTGTACTGTCAACACTGAGTAAAATTTTTGAAAAAATTATTCTTAATCAAAAGATTTTTTTTTAATGTAAATGATTTACTTCATAAAAATCAATTCAGCTTCACAAGGGGTCGTTTGACAACAGATTCTGGTGTTGATCTGATTAAATATATCATCAATACATGGGAGAATTCACAGGATGCTTTGAATACCCAATTTCTGGTTTTTTGACCTATCCAAAGCCTTCAATTGTATTCACCATGAAACATTTATCAGAAAACTACAACACTAGAGTTTAAGAAATAATGCTCTTAAATTACTCATTTCACATTTAAGTAGTGTTTTTCTAAAATAGGTAAATCTCGCGAGAAGCTTTTATATCATATAAATTGTGTAATGTAATGAATTGATGGGTTTGATTTAATTTAAAGTTTATTTGCTTACGTTTAGAGCATTTAAATAAAAGCTTGTGTTTAAAAATGTTTATTTTAATATTAATTTATTTTTTTAATTATCACCGAACATGTTTCTAAGTCTATTCATTTCATTTAATGCGCCATTGTTGGTTTTTAATCTAAAAAACTTGAAACTTTGCCGAGTTACATGT